GGGAGGGGGTGGGGGCAGGGGGGAGAAATGAACCAAGCCTTGTATGCACATATGAATAATAAAAGAAAAATGAAAAAAAATAAAATAAAAAAAAAAATAAAAATAAAATAAAAAAGTTATTGAGAGATTTCTGTGCACATAGATGCTAGCAAGAAAATAAGGTATGAAAGAAAATGGACTTATGACAACCCAGGATAGCATAGAGAAGCCCCAAAGAAAATACAAAGATCAACTCGAAGAGTTCTTTTGAAAGTACCATATAATTAATGGAGTTTCCCTGACAACACATGCAAAGCTTTGAGTTTAACCATCAAGGGAATAAGTGATGGTCCATCCACAAAAGAGCCTACATGGTGCTATTGAAAAGTGGTAGAGCACTTGTCTAGCAAGTGCAAGGCTCTGAGTTCAAACCTCAGTACTACCAAAAAAAGAAAAGAAGCAAAGAGTAATAAGAAAGTAATCATATAGATGTGGCATTGAAAACTGTTCATGGTGAGTTATTAGAAAGACAAGAAAACATTGCAAAAAGCTGCAAAACAGTATGTGGAGTATGATCCTGTTTTTGTGAAAATAAATATAGGATGTTCATGTGAGTAAATGCAAATGCACAGCTACCAAGCAGGGATAAAGAGCCGGTATGGAATTATGAGAGTTTCATTTTTAAAGATATTTCTGTAATGTTTGATATCTGTAGAGTGTTCATGGATTCAGAAGTCAGAAAAAGTGGTGAAATTAAGACCAAAAAAACCACAGAAATCATTGAGATTTCCTCCATTTCTGAAATAATACTTTCTCTTATGGACAGAGTAGTTTCCTGAAAGCAAGGATGGGGGGAGTGAATGTGGGGCCTGGTGCCCTGGTACTCACTGGTCTGGGCTGGAAATGTTCATCCGAGAGGCCCCACTTGTCCCTGTGGTACTGGTAGTACACCAGGTTCTGCTGCATGACCTTGTCTTTCTGGTCAAAGAGCAGGTAGCTGACAGCACAGGGAGCTGCATTCTTCAGATCACTCACTGGGTACAGGAGAGAAGAGGGCAGGGAAATGAGCAAGCCATTTCTACAAACTCCCCGCACCAGCCACCCTTCCTGAAAGTTTGACTCTGTAGGGAAAAAGGTCATGGACAGGCACCTTCCCTGTGACCCTTCCTCATGGGAACTGGGTGGAGAGGTCACAGACTGGGTCTCCATGGCAGCCTGGAGGCCAGTTGGAAACATGAACGCTCTGCGTTAGGCAGATGGCTTGGCAGATGTGCCCATGTGCCACCTCAGACTCTGGAAACCTGAGCTGGTCTCAGGCCTGGAGGCACCCTGAGAAGATGGGTACCATATCCTGGACCATTGAGGTGCTGAGAGACGTACTCAGCAAACTAGCTCCGCATTTGGAAACTGTAGCTCCTGGGTCCCATCTGAATGGAACCATAACCTCTAGGTACAGGTGGGTTCTCCTACAGCACAACCAAGCTTGGAAGACAAAAATGATGGTGAATTTGAGGCCATTCAGTTCTGCCATCTCCTGGGGACTTAGGGTCCCACCTCTAGCTTCCTTTCTTAGGACTGCCCCACCCATATCACAATCAGCATAAGGATTTTGCAGGGGTTGGGATTTGTCTTGGGGAGAAGAAAGTGAGGCAAAGAGGAAGAAACACAGCCCCAGGGTATTTATTCTGGCACGATCCTCTCCAATTTACAGCCTACAGGGAAGAACAAACACTTCCGCCAAAACTCTGGTTGACAAGCGTAATTAGAACTACTGATGAATGCATTATGCCACCCAGTGGCTGTTTCCTATAATGACAACTTTAAAATCAGAGAAAGGCTTCAAATGTAAATTATCACCACCTGCCTTCAAGAAATTTATTCTAAAAAGAGTTCAAAACAGATAAGATTTACAGAAGGCCAATTTTAAGAAGCTAATTTTACTTATACTGTTTGCCTATAACCTCAGTAAGCAAG